CAGAAGGGAGTGGCAAGAAATATTCAAAGTGATGAAAAACATGGAACTACAACCAAGATTGCTCTACCCAGCAAAGCTATCATTTAGAATTGAAGGTCAAATAAAGAGCTTCACACATAAGAAAAACTAAAGGAGTTCATCACCACCAAACCAACACTACAGGAAAAGTTGAAGAGTCTTCTTTAAGAAGAAGCTAATGAACAAAAGAATCTGACAAACTAAATAGATTCAGAGACATTGACACATGCAATAGATGATCATATTTCAGAGGAAAGAGGGAAGGGGGGTGGAGGNAAATAGATTCAGAGACATTGACACATGCAATAGACGATCATATTTCAGAGGAAAGAGGGAAGGGGGGTGGAGGGTGGGAAGAGATTAACCAAAGAAGTTATATGCANAGGGGGTGGAGGGTGGGAAGAGATTAACCAAAGAAGTTATATGCATATATGCATAACCCATGGACACAGTTAATAACGGGGTGAAGGCCTGGGGAGGGGGTGGGAGTGAAGTGGAGTGGGTCAATTGGGGGTGGAAATGGGACACCTGTAATACTTGCAACAATAAAGATAAATTAAAAAAAAAAAAAAGTGGCGTATATATACAATGGAATAGAATTCGGCCACAAAAAATAATGAAACCTTGCCATCTGCAACAACATAGAGGGACGTAGAGGGTATTGTGTTGGGTGAAATAAGTTAGAAAGAAAGACAAATGCCAGGTGATTTCACTTGTATATGAAATGTAAAAAACATGATAAACAAACAAGCAGAACAGAAACAGATTCATACATAGAGAACATTTTGATGGTTTCCAGATGGGAGAGGGGTGTTGGAGGTTGGGTAAAAAAGGTAAAGGGATTAAGAAGTACAAATTGGCCCAGCCAGTGTGGCTCAGTGGTTGAATGTCAACCCATGGAGCAAGAGGTCACTGGTTTGATTGCAGGTCAGGGCATATGCCCGAGGTGCAGGCTCAAACCCCAGTAAGAGGCATGCAGGAGACAACCAATTGATGTTTCTCTCTTATCAATGTTTCTATCTCTCTATCCATCCCTCTCCCTTCCTCTCTAAAAAAATCAATAAAAACATATTTTTAAAAAGAAGTATAAATTGGTAGTTATAAAATAGTTATGGGGATGTAAAGTATGGCATAGGGAACATAATCAACAATATTGTAATAACTAGGTATGGTGTCAAATGGGTATTAGATTTATTGGGGTGCTCACTTCATAAGTTATATATTTATATATAATAATGAGGTTGTACACCTGAAACTAATATAATATTGTACACGAAATGTAACTGAAAAAATTATTTTAAATGACAGAAACTAAAACATAAAGAGAAAAAAACTGAAAAAAATACCAGAATAGGGTACCAATGACTAAGGGACAACTACAAAAGGTATAACATGCATAATGGGAATAGCAGAAGAAGAAAGAGAGAAAAAGGAGGGAATATGGGAGGAAGAGGAGTGATAGGTGAGGGGAGAAGGAAAAGAAGAAGAACTATTTAAAGCAATAAGAACTAAGAATTTCCCCCAAATTAATGTCAGACACGAAATCAAAATCCAGGAAGCTCAGAGAAGTACAAGCATGATACATGCTTATCTCAGCACTTCTACATTCATTTCTATGGGCATTTGATTAATATCTATCTCCCATGCTAGAGTGCATATTCCGGGTGAGTAGACTTTATTTTTTGCTCATAATCATGCTCCCAGAATACATCACAGTGCCCACCCTTTGCTTGGGTGTATAATAAATACTTGTTGAATAAATAAATATTTAAGCTTTGAATTCATAATTGGAAAGTAAGTTTGGTAAGAAAAGTTTATACGTGTAATTCCTCTCCATCCTATCTATATAAAGATGAGAGTTAGTCCCCAAGCAGTTAGTGAGTTGCAGTTTGACACTCATCTTGATATTATCCTGGCTTTTTTTTTTCTTTTAGTTCAGTGTCACCTTGTACATTTACCTGAATTTCTTGAACATTTTTAACTTGTTTAGAACAATGTTTCCTGTATCTGTTAGTTTTCATTAATACTATTCCAAATATAGTGTTCAATTCCTTGGGTGGAAAATATGAAATATTTGATGTTCACAAGTCAACCAGTGGAGGTAGAGATTGCAGGGCTGGGGATGAAAGTGATGGAATGGAAGTTTCTCTGGAGTCAAACTGTGGATTTTAGGTCCTGCTTTTGCCACTAGTTTCAAATGAGTTTACTTAACTCCTGAATCTGTTTCTGCATTTCCAAAAATAGACACAGTATTAGAAACACCTATAGCCCAAAATATTGTGAGAATTTTATGGGGAAATGTCTGTTGAATTACTTTTTAAACTGTACAGTAACACAAATGTACATAATTATCTCAACGCTATAGGATTGGAGTGCATCTTAAAATAGGAACGGGAGCCTGGAGAAGGCTTCTGACAAAGTCATAATTTGTGGATAACTACTTTTTACGGTGCATTTCTATCTTGTTTTTGACCTTGTTTTTGAAATGAAGAACAGAGTAGTTGCAGCAGAGACAAACATATATTTAAAAAGAAGAAAGGGAAGGAACAGCACTTTTAAAATATTGCATTTAACCAGCCAATCCGGTGTCTGTACTTCTACCATTTTTCAGCTTCCTGGAAATCCCCAACTAAACCCATCTGGCTCTTACTCTCTTCCCTAACAACCTGCAGCCTGGTTTCCCCCAAGTGGGGTTTTGCATCCTCAGATTGTGAGGTATTGCTCTTACATGCTTGCTCAATTGTGAGGTCACATGACCTCCAGTATGTAAAGTAGGATGCTAAAGCACATCCCAGTAGCATCAGGCAGTGTGGGAAGATCAGCAGCTGGACGGGGGCTTCTGGAGTTCCGGTGGCTAGTGGCCCCCTGCCCACCAGTGCCTGAGTAGAGAGAAGAGGCCAAAAAGAAACCATGAGCATCCTGTTGCTCCTAGTGGGTGGTGTTTTGTTCGCCTTTATGTTTCTTTCCTGGAAAGACCAGTTTCAGGTAAGGTGTGCAAGAGAGATTGGAAAGAGATGAAGCTAGATGAATACATGGATAGGGTGGGTTGAGGGGTTGTCTAAGAAAATAGGAAGATAGTAAAATGGTAAAATAAGGGTAAGGGGAGATCACTTCATTCCCCTTATTCTCTTGATAGAGCCCCAGATGTTTATCTTTACCCCCACACTTCTCTCATCTTGACCAGTGATTTGACAGCTGTGACCTGTTGTTAAAAAAAAAAAAAAAAAAAAAAAAAAAAAAAAAAAAAAAAAAAA